ACCAGTTTGGATTGACTTTTTCTTGTTTGACTCAGTTTTTTCCTGTTTTTTGGTTTTGGTTTTTTTGGTTTGAAACTTATAAAACCAAAGTTGAACTGGTCAGTTTTTTAAAATTCTAATCGGTTTAATTGGTTTTTTTTCATAGTTCGTTTTTAGAAAAAAAATCGGTTCAAACCAGTTTGGTGCGGTTTTTTTCAATTTTTTTCTGTTTCGATTTGATTTGGTTTTTTTGGTTTGATGTTTATAAAACTGAAACCAAACCGATTGATTTTTTTAAAATTCTAGTCAGTTTAATTAGTTTTTTTATGGTTCAATTTATTTAGTTATTTTTTTCTAATTTTCTCGATTTAATCGATTTTTTTGCTCACCCCTAACCTCACAAATCAAGAACTTAGGTTTATCTTATTGAGAGATGTGAATTTAAACTAAAATAGTGTTAAAATCTTGTGAAGTAAATATACTTAGTTGCACAAGTGAGAAGTAATAAAATCTTTAAAGACAAGACTTTAATAACAATAAAAGATTTATTGTTTTAAAGTGTTTTAATATGCACCTTTTTTATTTTAATTCAAACATAGTTAATTTTATTATTAGTATATATGCTATAATTTTTTATTTTTTATTAATTGTAAATTTGAATATATATTTAGCATGTATGCTAATATTCTATTATTATTTATATGTTGAAAACATGTTTGCTGTTTAGAATACTTTTACTTGCATATGGTTTTAAATATATATAAAATTTAGGTTTTTAATAAAAAAAAATTTTTTATCATACTTTATACTTTTATAGTACGAACTAAATTATCATTAGTAGAATATATATGTTTATAAACTCTGATTTGCAGAAGAATATTGAGCTATAGACACGTTAGTGAGATAAAGTGTATTTGGGTTTTGGTCAAAGTTTTACTTGGGCTTTGGGCCCAAGAATGTGGGTTCTGCTCTCTACATGAAGCAGTCTTTCTGTCATGAATCTAGGTGAAAGATTTTCGAGCTCCAAACCAAATACAAGGAAATCCAAAGAAAGCAGATTACATACTGACAACATAGGCCAATGGTTGTCCCAATAATTACTTTTTTTTTTTAGATTAACGTGGGTGTCCGGACCAGCTTGCGCGCACCACGACTAATTTCACGGGCCCTGAAGTTAACGACCATGTAAGCCTCCAGTGGCCATCATATGAGCAACCAAGAACTCGAACCTGAGACCACAGAGGGAGCAAACCCTTTAGTCCCAAGTTTTTACCACTTGGCCACCACCTAAATGGTTCCCAATAATTACTTTGATACAAGGTGATCATGGTTTCGGTAGTTTTTGTTTTTGTGGTGGCATGTTTTTTTAAAAAAATTAATTTATTTTTATTTTGAATTAATTTTTTTATATTTTTTTATATTTTGATATACTGATATTAAAAATAAATTTTAAAAAATAAAATATATATTATTTTAATATATTTTTAAATAAAAAACACTATAAAAATTTACACTGTCATTATTTTTTCAGCCACACAACCAAATGGGCTGCCCCTTTATAATATAGCCTGAGATTAAAATGATTTTCATTCATGGAACATAGACTACTGAATCCGTGTTTTTAATTCCATTGCTTTGGACATGATATGCGTGAGATTTTATTTTTAATTTCATGAAAAAACTATCGAAGCCACTAGACATTTCTCCAGGTTTTATGCTATGGTTTTTTCGGACAACCTTTCTGTATAAGATTAGATTCACTTCTCGAATCCCATTACATGGAAGCAACATATTCATATCAGAACACAGAGCTAACTAATACTGGAGGGCGTGTAATTATTGCAAAGCCTATTAGCCTAATGCGAATTTTACGGCACATTTTAATTAAGATCTGTCCTAGTGGTCTGGATAATTGTATGCAATTAATCTCGGATGAAATGTTGGTGTCATGGAATCAACAGACATGAATGCTCCTTTTTGGCTTAAGGGTTTCTCATCTCAATGCAGTAATAACAGGATTTTCCATCGAACAAGGAATTATGAAACCCATCGAACCAATCCTATGTCGTCTCGATATCGCTGATCCTGCTTTGCTCGTTTCACCTACATCCCATGTGGCATCAACCCCAATGAAGACTGCAAGTAGGGATGGCGTTTTCTTTTATAATTTATATGCTGTTATTTTTTTTATTAATGTTTGTGAAAGAAATATATTTTTCTATTAAATTGATCATCAACTTAATGATAAGGTTTTTTTTATATTGAAATAGCTGCATAAAAAATATAGTGAAATATAACTCTAAATCTTAAAAATATAACATTAAATGATCATATTAAAATTAAAAAAAAAACAATGACCAAGGATAAAAAAGAAAAAGAAAAAGAAAGAGCCCCAAAGCTAACACCACTGTATTTTTAAAAACAAAAGGCCTGATTTTTTTTTTCAATTTTAATCCTTTCATTTTTTTTTTCTCAAAATCAATACAATTATTAAAAAAAAAAAAAACAAAGAAAAAGAAAAAGAAAGAGCCCCAAAGTTAACACCACTATATTTTAAAAAATAAAAGGCCTGATTTTGTTTTTCAATTTTAATCCTTTCATTTTTATTTTCTCAAAATCAATAAAATTATTAAAAAAAAAAAATCCGTGAAGCCATGCTCTTAGTCGATGCCAAGATCCTATTAGCGTAGATATAATACTATTATATAATTTCTGGGAAGGAGGGATTATTTATTTATTATAATATTATTAGCTTAGATATCAAAAACCCTCGTGCGGGCGCGACTGACTTTTGGTACCAACCCAAACGTGGCTCCGGAGACCACAGACTATCCTTTCCACGTGCATTACCGACACGTACGGAGACTGCCATGTATCGCCAATCCGCCATGGCACTAGCTGTATGGTATCTGTCTTTAATTAATTAAGTGGGCACCCACTTTTCTGGGCTTTATATCTCTGCCGTCCACTTTCGTTGTGCTGTTCAACTTCGAAGGCTCCAACTGACCGTGCATGCTATTAATTGAAAAACTAAAACTATGAATTAATTAATTAATTAATGCTACATGTAGAATGGTTTGAACTTTGAAGTCAAATCTAGCCCACCTCTATTATAAATAATTTTTGATAGATACATCAAGTTTCCGGTGAAAAGAGCATGAGATGAAATGAGACAAATGTCAAACCAATTAATTATTTTATGGTTTGGTAGATTTACGTGAATTCAAAATAAAATTATATGAGATGAAATGGAGGGCATCTATACATGTTAATTAATTCACCAAGGAGAAAAAGAAGAGAGAGATCTTGGACCTTAGGCACTCATTAGGATATCTCTTGCTAATTTCAGCCTACCTTTCATTGGATTTGAATTTAAAAATTTAGAATTTAACATCTCAAGTTGTAACCATTAACTGAAATGTTATTGTATAAATTTTTAAAAATTTTCACCATTCAACTTTTTATATATGAATAATATTTTTTAAAAAATATTATATAGAAAGTATTTGTTTTTGTGGTATTTAATATGTTTATGACACAATATAATTAAAATATTTGGTTAGCATTTAAACCATAGTATTAGAATAGGAATACTTTAAAATTGATGGTTCAACCACAAATTAACAAATAGCATTTCACATTTATTTTTACATATTTGCAACCTCATTTTATTCATCTCTGTTCACTAACAACTTTTGACAGATAAGAAAAAAGAATTGTTGTTTTATTGGCTAACCAAAATACTTTCATCATTTTCCCAATCAGCCTCCTTTTCTTTTATGTTTTCTTAAGTGATTTCTAGTCCTCCCTACCTTGTTGTTTTGCTTTTATATTTTTTTGAGATTGATAATATGAGGTCATAACTCATTTTATTCTCTCCAAAATAAAATCTTTACCTAAAAAACAACTCAGTAGAAATTACTCTCATCTTCTTCTAAAATTCCTAATATTTTTTCATCAGATTTACTTGGCTTTTATCTTCTTCTCTTCTGTGTTAACAAACCACTATGATTTACATGAATAGATATTAGCAAGCTAACCTTAACAATTTATTACATCCATTTTCCGTTTCTACAAGTTAATGTTATATAACTATTTATCAAGTTAAAAACATCATTTTTTTTTATGTTAAGTTAAAGCTTTTCATTTTATTTTATTGCAATAACAAAAATTAATTTTTTTTTATTAATAGAGTTTTTATCAGTTAAAAATATACTATCAAATCTAAAATATTTATGTTTTTTAACATCATCAACTAATTTCTGATCATTTTTTGGGTATTCTCTCTCACTATATATATATTTGGAAGAAAAACATGATTTAAAAAAATAACACAAAAATAAATTATGATAGTAGTTATAATGATATTGACTTGGATTATTATTATGTTTAGATGAGAATAGTTAGGTTTGAAAATTTGTTTGAAATCACATTATCTAATAATCAAAATTCAAAATAAAAAATTGACTCTTGTTTTTTTTTTGTCATTTTATTTATAACATTAATTTCAATTATAATTTTAAACGAATATTTTTTAACATGTTTTTGGTTAAATAATAATTATAATTATAACTAAATATATTTTTAATTCAAATCAACTATAATTAAAAATAATTTTTTAAATTATAATTATAAAAATTATCACAGTATCAAATTTTATTAGAAATATTTATATGATATTATTATAAAATTTGTGGTGGGGTTTACGATAGCAGTTAGCAAGCAGACGTAAATTCGGAGGGGTCCAATATTCAATACAATGAACCTTCGTGGAAATTAATTAATTAATAATTAATTCGTAGGTGTTATTGAACCTTCGTGGAAATTAATTAATTAAAAATTAATTCGTAGGTGTCTCTGAATCTACATGACCAATCATCATCTACGTTCTTCTTATCTTATTTATATATAAACATAGACAAGACACAACGATTAAGAATAGGGCAAGAAAGATAAACATGAGTTGTCACTTGAATGGAAATTCAAAGTTAGGTTCGATCATCACAGAGAAAATACAAATCATGGGTGTTTCTGAGCCAGGAAAAGTATGCAAGAATCATCCATATCACGATCAGAAACAAGGGGTCTGTGCATCATGTTTAAGAGAGAGATTAACGCAGCTAATCTATGTCAATACTTCACAATCAGCAGTGCTTGCACCTCCTTCGTCATCATCTTCTCCTGATCATCCCTTCTCTTCTGTTGCCTCTACAAACCATGTATCTCGTCGCCAGCATCACCGGAACATTTCAGATAATTATAATATGGGTTCAGTATCTTTCAGGGTACGTGTCAGTAACCGCTTGAAGAAGAGTAGATCAATTGCTTTTGTGACAAGAAACCATACTGGAGAGGTAAAAAATGGGAAGAAGAGCAATGGGTTCTGGACTAATTTGCTTCATTTGAAGGGAAAGAAGGATCGGGTTTTGATGCGTTCTGCTGTCTCTATGAATGAAAGGTTGTATTAAGAGGGGTATAATTTTATGTATGAAATTAAGCTTCTTCTTCTCTTTTTATTTCTTTTGTGAGAGAATTTGAGGCTGCTACAAAATAATTAATTAATTAGGAGCTATGTGTATAAGTTTGTCTATAATTACAAAGTTAATTATGCAACGGGTTTGATTTGTTTTTGTTCTGACATGTTGAGTTTGAGCTTACTTCCAATGGTTTTAACTTTTAATTATTAGTTGTACAATTGTGAAGTTTCTTTGCACATTCTATGTGAATGCTATCCTCTCCTCTTTTCTTTTTCATAGAGGTATTTGATTGATGTTATTATGTTGTTTTTATCTCCTCTTTTCTTTTTCATAGAGGTATTTTATTATGTTGTTTTTCGTTAAATCCTTAAAATATAGTAAATAGATGTAAGAAAATACGGAAAAAAATTTTATCTTGAAAATATAGACATAAAATAAATGTATTTGAAAATAATTTTTTTATATAAAAAATACAAGAAACATATCTCATGCTTTCGTTATCTTTTTCTTGTATATCTTTATGTTGGTGACAAGTAAAAAAGTGTTTAGCTATTTAAAGATTTTGTCTTTGTAAATGTTTTAAAATAATATTTTTTATTTTTTAAAATTTATTTTTGATCAATTTAAAAACACAAAAACAACAAAAAATCCATAAAATTCTGATTTCACGGAGCTGTCCAAACATGAATGAGCACCAACCAAATTAATTTCTCTCAATGTGATTTTTTTTAGATCATGAGCCCATGAATTTGGATGGGGAGCGTTTCGATGTATCTAAGCTGCTTTTTTTTATTATTATTATTAGTATGGATATTTGAGTTAACTTGTATTATCTTGATTAATTTTATAGAATTTAAAGTTAATAATTATCTAAAACTCTAATCAACCTAAAATTTATAAAATTCAAAATAATAATTTTAAAAAATAAATTTAAAATCTCACTAATTTAATTAAGTTAGCTGTCTTCCTTCCTGAGATCAGTAGTAGATGGAGGGCGATGTTATCACGGTACTGGGACAACATTGGTAAGACAAATGCTTTGTGTTCCGTGACTTGTAAGTTAGCTCTTGCATATCGCATATTCTTTGACTAGCTGGTCATCTCCATTCCATTGTCATGCTCTACCTCTATGTTCTTGCGAATTTCTTGACCACCTAGGTTTTGTGGAATATTGACTTGAAGAGCCGTGTTCAAACACAAAATCATCGATTATATTATATATGATGTCGAGACAGGTGATTGCTTCTGAAATGGTCTTCACTTTTACGGGTGGTTTGTAGCCCCAATTATTCCTGCCTTGGATCATTTGTTTCATTTCTGCGTGTAATTTGAGATGAAATGATTTAGTTATTATACTTTCCATATTAAAAAGGGGATGCAGATGCGATGCAGATGATTTAGTAATTATACTTCAGCTTTGAGCTTTCGTGTTTTCAGATCATTAAATCGTGATAAAAATGTTAATAGTGTATAAACTGCCCATCAAGGGAAGCTCATTTGCAAGATCGGTTTAATGGTACAATTCACAAGAAAGAATTTTGCCTGCACAAATTCAGTGGTGTTCATAAACATAATCCTCTACTTACGCTATTGTATCATCTAAGTTTCGAATTGCTGGTACACGTATGGAGTCTCCATGATATATCCCCCCAGGCTTCCATAAAAAAATGTTGTATTTGCTAGGTCTCGCCCTTCATCTATACACCTTGTATTCCAGTCTACAATAGGCATTTTAGTTTCACAGTGTCCTGGGCAAGACTAACATTATCTGGGAGGACCTGGAATCTTGATATCAGTCCCATGCCCATATCAATCATCATCATCATCCCTGAGACTTCCATGGTCTGCAGATGGTCGTTTCAGTCTCTGGAATATCTCATCAAGGGGTTGAGATGATAAATCGTGAGACCCAGGTTGTGGTTCCCGCACTTGGCGTAATGGAAGAAATTTGTTGGCTCCTATATTCGCTTTAAAACTTTGAAAACCATTCTTCATTGATTCCCATTTAAAGGCCAAACCAGCCAATGGCCCAGCTGTCGTGTTGTGGGAGTGAGAGCTGCCACCATCAAGCAATGACACCTTCACAGAGGCAATGTTCTCCACCGGCCTTGTATTGGCATGCCTGCTCTGAGCTCTAACAGCAGCATACTTGTTACTGATGGCTTCTTTGCTTGTGTTGTATCTCTGACTTTCTTTCAAGAGTTTGGCTCGACTTCCCTTCCTCTCATCAGAGGCTAAACTGCTTGTTGCCTTCATTCCAGCGGCAGTCCTATCCTGAGCATTTTACATGTGAGTTAGAAGGATCATAAGAAATCTAGCTATCATTTTAAGATGAATAGGAAATACAATTGACGATGTTTTATGGTGGTATCACATAAATGAACCTCAGCATGAGTTGCAAATCTGTCATTCAAATGGATCTAATCCAGACAAATCACATGTGATATGTACATAAATGCAGATACACACATGTATAAAAACAGCGAAAAAATAGATAGATTTCATTGCTTGACATGAATACATACTGTACTATTGTTGCCAGTCTCCACATCAACACCGTTAAAGTTTCTTGCCAGTGGCACAACCAGCTCACCAACTTTTAGTCCTTGATCCAACCAAGATCGTTCTGTCAAAAATATACAAGAGAAGGGGAGAGGGCTTATAAACTATCAAGGAATAATTGGACAACTTTTTAAATTTCAAGCATATAATATCATAAGCTCAAACCATTAACAAGGAGATTATGGTACACTTACCTTTTTGTAGGATAATTAGTCCGGATGGATCAAATCCATCAGTACCATCTGCCTCGGTTTGAAACCTAAATCTATTCAAGCTCCCAAAGAAACCAATCACGCGATCAAAGAAATTGCTCGCAACCAACAGGGTGTATATAACCATAATCAGCGGATAGATTCTGTTAAAATCATTTCCAAAGAAAGGGACGGCATTGTCAATTTTTCCCATTCGCTGCAACCAGAAATCATGAGAGACCAAGGTAAAAGAGTCAACTTTCATGCGGGAAAAAGATTAAAATTCTCCTGTAGCAGTTCTATGGTTATAGCAGTTAGTTAGTCACCAGACCAAGGAAACTTAAAAATAAAAGTACAAGTGGAAACTTTCTTATTTATATAGAAATGCAAGCATATATTATGTGTTCGCATAACTTTTTTCTTAACAGAAACAAATGAGGTGCAAATTGAAGCCCAACCAGGGAACAGGAATATTGATTTGATAGAAAATCATTCAGAACTTGAGGGTGAAAATTAATTATTAGAAGCTTAGATCATCCAAGGATTCATATAAAGAAAGAGATGCCATAACAGATCATTCAAAATTGAAAAACATAAGTAGTGAACCTAGTGAACCCATTTCCTAAAATGCATTGCTTTCTCAATCCTTCCAAATGTTATGTAAAAAGAAATACAGATAAGTCCTACGTGAGAACATCCACAGTTGCATGAAGTACCAAAAATGGAGATCAATTTCTGAGCTTTCCATCCGGTCCCTCAATTATAGGAAAAACAATAAACAAAAGAGATCTCACTTGAAACCCGATCCAAAAACTAGAACATTGCCCTATGCAAATATTGGAATTTTCTATTACGTCAATCTCACATGCTCAACTAGGAAGATTTTTCTAAAAGCAAAACTGCCAAAAGAGGTCCAGTATTAAAACAAAATAAATAAAAAATTTATGCCTCAATCAGAACATACATGAAAGTTTAACCACTGGAAAAACACTAGGAAATCTTACATATTTGATACCTCAAATGCTGATCTTGGTAAATAAATAAAAAATTTATGCTTCAGTCAGAAGAACATGCATGAAGGTTTAACCACTGGAAAAACACTAGGAAATCTTATATATTTGATACCTCAAATGCTGATCTTGGTACCAGATGGGACAGAAAGACCCAAAATATCACTTTATTCTATTTGCAATTACAACTGGTACTAAACATAAAAATAGAAGAGAGAGAGAGAGGGAGAGGAAGAGAGAGAACTACCTTCTCAAATATAGTTTGCTTAGGATCCAGATTAATGAGGTTGAGAAAATTGTACGAAATTGGAGGAGCATATCGAGCAACCATCCTAACAAAGATGCCACAATAAGATAAACTGACTTTTCTCAAATGACAGGAGGGGCCAAAGAAGGTTGCAGAGCAGGAGAGGGGGGAATTCATGACAGCATAGCTCTAAATGGAAAAACTTACGAGCATATCATAAGCAAGCTGACTGAACTTGTCTGCCTAGGTGTTAAAGAGTAAAACATTAACATTCCGATTTTGAACAAGGAGTAGTATGTGCAGATGCACATATACATCAAAGGTACAAAAGCCAAAACCTGGAATACATTAACAGTAGAAGAGTAGAGCAAAATATAAGTGTGTACACCATAACTATAAGAACAATGCACATAAACCACATATAACCATGTAAGAATTGTAAACAAAAGAAAAGAACCTACCTGCATAGCTATCTCTTGTTTTCCCGCAGAGTTTATAAGGATTGAAAATAGAGATAGATCAACTCCACCAATTAGTAGAGTTGCCTCTGCTAATAGAATTGCAGCTGACATAGTTCCAAGTATGACAGCCAACACCTTCTCAAGTTGCTTTCTTAAGATGCATCGCCACAAAAATTCTGCACAAGGAAACAATTTTTTCAGGTTTCGGCTTAAAAGCTTGTCAAAACAACAGACCACTTCTACATAAATGTGTTTGTGCATGTGTTTGTGTACAGTGTGTACATATAGAAATAGAATATGTGCATCATAACCCCTCAAATTAAGCAGAATTTATTACACTTGGGAATACAGTCACTGCAAAAGCATGTTATTTTCTGAGTTCACATCTGGACCTCGATATCAAGACCATCTATCAAGCTAAATATAATGACAAGCCAAAAAATAATCCTCGTTGTGATGCTTTGAAACTCAAACTTAAAGGAAAGAAAAGGGATAATGTATCTGGCAATTACCCATTCTA